GCCGACTCTAGGGGGCGGTGCCCATCTCCGTTTCAAAACCTAAGAGCCAGCGCTGTCCGAAGACGTCTCCGTGGTCCTGTGGCCGGCATGACTCAACGCCAAAGGCGCACGGAACCGTGTTCCCTTCCCACCAAAGGTGGTTCCTATTTTTCTACTTGCATTTTTTTAAACGTGCTTTCGAACTGCTAGGTTGGCAGAAGCTGGGACAAGCAACGGGAGCTCACTCCGTTATGTGGCGCTTGGGATTCGAACCGCCAAACTGCAGACCTTTCTGATCGACAAGCTCAGCGTCTTAGCCCCTGAGCCACCGCGTCCCTGTTATGAGTCTTAAGAAAGAGAGGTTTTAAAAAATAAGTCCTTTCGCACACTCTAACGGGATTTGAAGTCAGCATTCTTTTGTCCCTAACCCTACACAACCTTCCGGGGCGTTGTGTTCGATCTCCGGATCCCTCCAAATTAATCCTCTCATGGCAGGAGCCAAAACCCACCTTTAAAAGCTCAATTTCCAAGCAAGGTGTGAGACCCAACCAGCCAAGAGGCGAAGAAGACGATTAAAAAGATCTTCTCCAAATGTTGGCCGGGGGGAAACTGGAGGAAGGAAGAACTGGGCAAACTTTTGCCAAGACATCGGAAAAGTTTCTCATCCGGCTTTGCTCGGGGTTCAGAGGGTCTTCCGGGGCCGCTTGAGGAAGGACAGGGCGTAACTTCGAGGAACAGAAACCTTCTGCTTTTTCAGCTGGACCTGTGACTGAGCCGTGAGCTGCAGTTTGATGGCGCTGGAGTTGATCTTGGCCGCTACCAGGAGTTCCTTCATGCCTTTCATCTTCTCGCTCTGGAAGGTGAGGACGAGGCCTTCGGGGCGGGGACTGGAGCCGGTGCTGAGACCCTCCTCCTTCTCCGGAAGCGGCCGGTCGGATCTCTGGGTGGTGCTCGGACGCCGGCGTTCCGTGGCCTTCTTGGCCAGGGGCGGCTCTTCTGGCTTGGATTCTCGGCGAGGGCCCCGACGGCGGCCTTCCCGGGGATCCTCGCTGCCTTGGTCGTCGTCGTCATTCGCGTCCAGGTCCCTGCTCACCAGGGTCACCTTTTGCCGCACCTGGGAAAGCAAGGGAAGGTTCTTACGACGGTTCCCCGGAACTGTGTTTCTCAAATTTGGCATTTTTAACAAGTGTGGACTTCAGCTCCCAGAATTCCCCAGCCAGCATGGTTTAAGAGTGGACTTCAACTCCCAGAATTCCCCAGTTAGCATGGTTTAAGAGGCATGGACTTCAACTCCCAGAACTCCCCAGCCAGCATGTTTTAAGAGTTGGCTTCAACTCCCAGAATTCCCCTGTTAGCATGGTTTAAGAGGCATGGACTTCAACTCCCTGAATTCCCCTGTTAGCATGGTTTAAGAGGCATGGACTTCAACTCCCTGAATTCCCCAGTTAACATGGTTTAAGAGGCATGGACTTCAACTCCCAGAATTCCCCAGTTAGCATGGTTTAAGAGGCATGGACTTCAACTCCCAGAATTCCCCAGTTAACATGGTTTAAGAGGCATGGACTTCAACTCCCAGA